GAGAACTGGGAAGCCCTGGCCCTTGAGTGCTCCAGCTGGAGGTCAGCTGTGACCAGCAGTGCTGTGGAATTCAAAGAGGCACGAATGGAGGGCAAAAGGGAGAAACATGCCAAGAGGAAGGCACATGAAGCCAACCCTGACCAGGACCGCCTTCCATCTTTAAACCGATGCCCTCACTGTGGGAGAACATGCGGATCGAGAATAGGGCTCCACAGCCACCTACGGACCCACCGCCAAGACACTACACTTGGAGGACCATCATCCTCAGGCTACGAGGGATCACCTAAGCATTTATTTATTGCATTTATATACCACTTTTCTCACCCCTGGGAGGACTCAAAGTGGTTCACAACGTAATCAGTCCAAGAAAAGAGGAACGTTTTCAGCCGAAGATGAATTTTTTACTGATTTTAATGTTCTGCAACTTCCTTTGTTGTCAAAGGAGCGAGTCTTCACGCTAGCAATTACAGCTTTTAAATGTGTTAAAAGAGATTAATTTTTTGCTCCTTGGTGGCGTCTCACTTGCGAATCGATTTCTGGCGAGCCGAAGCAGCCGACGACAATGAGATCTATTGATTCAACATGCTGAGGATAGCTCCAAGGTTTGTTGTCAGTAGCGTAATTTCAGGACATATAGTCCCACTCCATTCTGCCTTGGTCAGGCCTCCCTTGGAATACTACCGGGCACCACAATCCAAGGAGCAGATGGACGAGAATGAAGGTGTGCAGAGAAGAGTGACCCAAATGGCCAAAGGCCTAGAAATCTGGAATTTATTTATTTCGAGGTTTTATATACCGACCCTCTCACCTTCAAAGAGGGATTCGGACCGGTTCACAACATGTGTTAACATACAAAAAATATACAATAACAACACAATGCCACTTCATTTCACGATTAAAATATAAGCACCATAAACATTAAAAACATTATCATCACAGTTATAAGAGCCAAATCGTCCACACAATCGCAATCCCAAACTACCGTTCATCATCCTCCTTTCATGTGAGTAAAGAATTAAATCATAGAATCATAGAATCAAAGAGTTGGAAGAGACCTCCTGGGCCATCCAGTCCAACCCCATTCTGCCAAGAAGCAGGAATATTGCATTCAAATCACCCCTGACAGATGGCCATCTAGCCTCTGTTTAAAAAGCTCCAAAGAAGGAGCCTCCACCACACTCCGGGGCAGAGAGTTCCACTGCTGAACGGCTCTCACAGTCAGGAAGTTCTTCCTAATGCTCAGATGGAATCTCCTCTCTTGTAGTTTGAAGCCATTGTCCCATTGCGTCCTAGTCTCCAGGGAAGCAGAAAACAAGCTTGTTCCCTCCTCAGTTGTCAAATGCCACGTTCCACAACCAGGTCTTTGTTAATTTCCTGAACGTCATGAGGGAGGGGGCAGTTCTGATCTCTAATGGGAGGGAGTTCCAACGCCGGGGAGCCACCATCGAGAAGGCCCTGTCCTTCGTCCCCACCAGCCGTGACTGTGCAGGCGGTGGAACCAAGATCAGGGCCCCTCCAGACGATCTTAATGGTCTTGATGGTTCATAGGGGAACACAATAGAATCTCTGTGAGGAGTGGCTTACAGAACTGGATATTGTGCTGTCACACGCTGGACCTGTGGCAATTGTCCAGCAGGACGCCGGGGTGCCTCAGCTGAGACACCCTATGAATTTCCTTATACAAAGTCTTTAGAAGCTTAGAAAGTTTAACAAAGTTCTTTATTGGTGCTTAACTCTTCAACAAATCAATCAAATACTTCTTAGATCGTCAACACAACAGACTAAACACTTTAAAACTCTGCGAAATTGGTGGTTTTCTTAACTTGCCCACAATGGACAAGCAACTTGCTTCATGAACTGTTTCCACTGGTTTAACCCAGCGGTTTAACCCACTGCGCCACCAATGGGTCCCTATGATGACACAATAAATAAATACATATTATTATTATAAATCATTATTATAATGTTTCCCCAGAGCAGCTACTTCTCTCTCTACACACACACACATATATATATGGCATTGGTTCTGATGGCGGCATATAAATGTCGTAAATAAATCTATATAAATAAAAATGTAATGTTCGTTTGTGGGATTAACAGAATCCAAAAACTACTGGATGAATTGGCACCAAATTTGGACACAAGACACCTAACAACCCAATATATGTCCTTCACTAAAAAAAAAATAATAATGATTTTGTCATTTGGGAATTGTAGTTGCTGGGATCAATCAAAGACCATTCTGAACCCCACCAACAATAGAATTGGACCAAACTTGGCACACAGTTCTCCCATGACCAACAGAAAATAAACGGTTCCGGCCCAAAATACCTTGAAAACCGCATCTCGGCCTACGAGCCCACGAGGACCTTAAGATCATCTGGGGAGGCCCTTCTCTCGGTCCCGCCTGCCTCACAGGCACGCCTGGCGGGGACGAGAGAGCGAGCCTTCTCGGTGGTGGCCCCCCGGCTATGGAACTCCCTCCCTGCTGAAGTCAGACAGGCACCTTCCCTCATGGCCTTCCGTAAGGGCCTGAAGACCTGGCTCTTCGAAAAGGCCTTCAGCTAGTGCTATATGTTTTCCTTGGAATGATCACCGGAATGGACTATGACGATGAGACTGACTATGACCCTAATCTAGACGAAGCGGATTTTTATATGTTGTGTGATGGTCTTGTTCCACTGTAAATTGTTGTCTTTTCTATGTTTTGTACACCGCCACGAGTCGCCTCCGGGCTGAGAGTGGCGGTTAACAAGTGCAAGTAATAAATAAATAAATAAATAAAAAATACTGGAAGGGTTTGGTGGGCAGTGTCCTTTGGTTTTGGAGTTGTAGTTCACCTACATCCAGAGATCACTGTGGACTGGAACAATAATGAATCTGGACCAAACTCTACACAAATACTCAATATGTCCAAATGTGGACACTGGTAGAGTTTGGGAAAAATAGAATCTTGACATTTGGGAGTTGTAGTTGCTGGGATTTATAGTTCACCTACAATCACAGAGCAGTCTGAATCCCACCAACGATAGAATTGAACCAAACTTGGCACACAGTTCTCCCATGATCAACAGAAAATACTGGAAGGGTTTGGGGGGCAGTGTCCTTTCATTTTGGAGTTGTAGTTCACCTACATCCCGAGATCACTGTGGACTCGAGCAATAATGGATCTGGACCAAACTCTACACGAATACTCAATATGTCCAAATGTGAACGCTGGTGGAGTGTGGAGAAAATAGAATCTTGACATTTGGAAGTTGTAGTTGCTGGGATTTATAGTTCACCTACAATCACAGAGCATTCTGAATCCCAGCAACGATAGAATTGGGCCAAACCTCCCACACAGAACCCCCATCTTGGGCCACAGCAACGCGTGGCAGGGGACGGCTAGTGTGTGTGTGTGTGTGTGTGTGTATACACACACACACAGACACACACATATATAATATTATATTATATATATGGAATTTTAATCTCTCCAAGCCAGGAAGTGGTTCGACTTCTGGGTCAGTTTTGGATCCTTTTCTCCGTCTCTGGGATCCTTTCAGGCTGGTTTTCTCTTGCGCCGCCTGTTGCAATGAAGCACAGATGCCCCTGCTTTCCCATAAGGCAACTTCTGCCATGTTTCTGGAGACAACGTGCCATATGTCGCCACTTTGCCAGTTGGTGCCACCCAGTATTTCCTCCGCAGCCCTGCAGAAAAATATATACCGGAGCTGAGATACATCCGTGACAAAGAGCAATTAATTTTTTTCCCAGACACATACCCAAGCAAAGCTGTTTTATGCTCTGCCCCAGGCAAGATTATCCTTCCAAAAAGGGAAGTTGTGCAAGACAACCCATGAATAGGAAGAGCATCAGTTGGGCATAAAGTGCAATCAATGGGAAAGCAGCCCTTCAGCTTAGCATTGAGCATAGAAATATGTTTTCAAGTCATCCGGCAATTAAAGTAGCACTGAGGCTGAGAGTGTGTGACTCACCCAAGGTCAGCTGTTCAGCAGGGGAACTCTCTGCCTTAGAGTCTGGTGGAAGCTCCTTCTTGGAACAGAGGCTGGATGGCCATCTGTTGGGGCTGCTTTGATTGTGCTTTTCCTGCATGGTAGGGGGTTAGACTGGATGGCCCCTGGGAGTCCCTTCCAGCTCTAATATTATGTAGTAGTACCGTAATAATAATAACGACTGATAATGATAATGCTGATGATGGAGGCTCTTTCTCTGGAGGCTTTTAAGCAGAAGTTGGATGTCCATCTGTCGGGAAGGCTTTGATGGTGCTTCTATAACAACAACAACAATACTCAGAGTAATTGATAGTATGCTGCTAATGATGGCGTCTCTGGAGGCTTTTAAGCAGAGGCTGGATGGCCATCTGTTGTGAAGGTTTTGATAGTGCTTCTATAATAATAATAATAACAACAACAACAACAGCATCTGTTGGGAAGGCTTTGATTGTGCTTCCATAATAATAATAATAATAATAATAATAATAATAATAATAATAATAATAATAATTTGCAGATGGCCATCTGTCAGAAAGGCTTTGATGGTGCTTCTACAATTATTATTATTATTACTATTATTTGCAGATGGACATATGTTAGGAAGGCTTTGATGGTGCTTCTACAGTAATAATAATAATAATTTTCAGATGGACATCTGTTGGGAAGCTTTGATGGTGCTTCCACAATAATAATAATAATAATAATAATAATTATTATTATTATTATTATTATTATTATTATTATTATTATTATTTTCAGATAGTAGTAATAATAATAATACTGATTTTGGGGCCCTCCAGTGTGGAGGCTCCTTATTTGGAAGTATTGGAGGCTTTCCAGCAGAGGTTTTTGATGGCTCTCTGTTGGGAGGGCTTGGGTGGTGTTTGTACAATAAT